TTTGTGTAAATAATTAATAAGTATAATATGTCATGATTTTGTGTTAATTTCTGTTAATAATAAGCTTGTAATTTTTTTGAAAGACTACAGAATTCCTCTTGCCACACACTAGCTAGTGCAATTTTGTTTGCAATTTTGAAAGTTTAAAAAATCTGCTCATGCTCATAGTAACACTGAATTGGACTCGATCAAAATCATGTTAATACCTATACTAGTAGTATACTGTACTTGAATTGGCTCAAATTAAATGGTAGATATTTGACTTTTATGCACTCATCAAAGAAATCCAGGCACTTGTGATAACCTGTTATTCTTATGATGCTCAGTGTTGAATTGTTTAAAAATCCACCACAAGAAACTTCATTCTGAACTTTAATAAAATCTGGTTATTTTTTGTTTGAAGTTCAATTGTAATTTTTGCGAAGTGAAATGCACATTGAAGGGCAGCACTCAACCAAGATGCATTACAGGGGTACAAGTAGCCATTCTAAGCATTTTCTGTTTTATATTTTTTCTACATTTTATTATCCAGGGAGTGTTGACTATAAATTATTACCTTACAGGATGTTCTATGCAGGCCATTGGTGTAGCCAAGAGTGACACTATTCCAGACAGCAGCTTCTCAGCCCCATCAGAATTTAGTTCAGTATATGCAGCTAAATATGGTCGCCTAAATAATACATATTCATGGGCACCTAAGGGGAACAGCAATGCTGATGATTACCTTCAAATTGACCTGCTGTTTGAGTACGTCATCTGCGCTGTAGCTACGCAGGGAAATCCAAGGGCTAGGGAGTGGACAACAGAGTACAAGTTTCAATTATCCCTCAATAGTGCAAAGTTTGTCACCTATCAGGAAAACAAAGCTGACAAGGTTGGTTTATATGAACTTCAAAGTTATTTTAAGTTAGACAAATAGTTCACTTACAATCAGTTTTTGCAGGACTGTAACACCATGCTTGTATTTACGTAAAGAGGTAAGCTGAAGAAAATTCATTTTCTTTCTCAATTAAGTCATTTCTTTCCTAAAGTGGCCACCTTTCCATTAAATAGAAGAGTTAGCCATTTTCTTGACCTATTTCTTATCCTTGTTTTACTCTATTACAACAAATTTTTAATCATTACAACAAATTGGTAATTCAGTTTTTCTCAAGATTGCTGTTCATGTGGTTTTGGACTGTATACATAAATGATGGTCATGTTTATGTACATATTAAAAAAGCCAAAAGTAGCTCCTACAACACACTGATTCAATTTTTTTAAGTTAAGGGGAGGGACACAGCAGATGTGTCTACTTGGTCAAGACTCAGCCTCAGTTATCTTTTGAGTGAATGACAAACTGTTTCTGGAACACCCATAATTGTTCATTCCAGCAAAAACACAAACCTGTGTGCTTAGTAACTTTATGTTGTTCTACAGTTTGCTTTCAGTATTAGACCATGCCCAAAATAGGATTCTTTTTTTCTTGTTTTTCGCTTAGTACGGATGATTAACGTACTATTAAAGTTAAGCCGACTTGATCAGACTTGTTTAAGTTGTGCTGTTCTTGCCCATTATAAACCTAAAAATTCTATCTTTCTGTTATTTGTTTATCAACATCTATACAAAGGAATTATAAATTTAGGAAATCATTACAACTCGACGACGGTTTAAGGTGGCTCAATAGGGTTATGCAAGATCACGAAGCGCGCACCAGTGACATCAATCGAAAGTTAATTTTTCTCGTTGTTTTTGCTATTTTTCAAATCAAAGCTACTGAAACTAAAAAAACAAGGGGCTAAATTTGCTGTACAACAGTCACCTCTGAAGTCAAGGCTTTTAGTCCCAAATTAAAACTACTCAAATATCGCCATTTTTTGACGTCTGTTTGACTTTGATTTCAATTTTCTTCAATTTCCTTCGGTAAAATTTTCTATTATTCTCCGACCGGGTAGAGTCTGACAAGACGAAACTTTTAAAATCGAAAAAAATAGGGGTTGTCAAGGTAGTTTTTTCGCTTTTAACATTTTTGTTGTTTTTTGGCTGAGCGAAAAACTTGTCTTACAAATTTTTCTGATAAATTCACAGCAAGGAAAGCTAAAAGGGTATAACATCTCTGCCAAATTTTAAGGAATTTCACCGAAGGAAATACGAGAAATCTGAGGGGGAACTTTCTATTTTCTCACCTCAATGACAATCACGTCATCAGAATAGGAACTCGCCAAGATCGCTATTTGAGCATGCGCGAACTTTCGAACCACGCGGTTTTGTCGAG